TTTTTTTTTTTAATTTTTTAGATACTTTAAACGCTTCGTTTGTACTCCTTCTTAAGAATAGAAATGTACTGTAGGCATAGCTCGTACAGAGTGGCCTTAAAAATACGGTACCAAGAGGTTACATCACTGTCACGGAAAGTGCTGAGTGCTGTTGTTGTACTGTGCACCTTTCGGAAACTATGTTTATGCTTCGCTGGGGTCAAGTGGTTTGTGAAATACGGGAGCAGCAAGGCCTCGAGTGTGGTCGCTACCGGGGAAAGGAGTGTTATCGGCCGATAAGAATCTCCTATGTTGGCAGGTTTCCCTGGTTTGAGCAGTGGGACCACTCTCCCCACCTTCCAGATGTCTGGGACGATGAGAGTGGCCATAGACAAATTGAGGACCTCCGTTAGGTACGCTACCCCTGCTAGACCCAAAATTTTCAGCATCAGCATGCATATTCCGTCGGGACCCATGCCTTTGGAGGCTTTCGGCTTCCCGATGGCAGTTTGTCCGACGAAGCATGGTCGCCGCAAGAAATTTCGACTCTGTCGTCGTGCTTCGTCGGATTGGATAGTGACATTACGGTTGACCAAAGCTTACTCACACCAGACGTGAAGTTACAGGTCTACAGATGCTCTTCCCACTTCTTCCGCTTATGTACGTTTACTAGTTGCCGAATCTCCGCGTTTAGATCCCTGATACGGGGATCTCCGGGATCGGCCTGACGAAGGCTATCACGCTCATCGGCTAGAACAGCCGCTTCAGCAGGGAAATTCGGACGTGGGTCCGTGATACATCTTGCCGGTACGAAGCGAGTTGCAGTAGCGGTGACAGCCCTGCGGAATTTACGTTCACCAAGGTGGACGTCGGTTGGTGTGGGGAGAGCAGCGAAGGTGTTTTCAGTAAATTCCGCGAAACCTTTCCAATCAGCTTTAGAAAAGTTGATATATGTTCGGTGCTCCGCGGAAGCAAAGTCGGTTGGTTTATCGATCGAGATGACTATGGGCAGATGGTCTGATGCCAAAGTCAGCATAGGTCGCCATGATATGCTGTTTATCAGACCAGCGCTGACCATTGTTATGTCTGGCGAGCTGCAGCAGCTGCCCATAACCCTGCTGGGTGCGTCGTCGTTCATTGTGCAGAATGTCGAATCGTCTATCTGCTCAGCCAAGTCAGTTCCCCTACGATCGTTTGACAGGCTTGAGTGCCAAAGATCGTGGTGCGCATTAAAGTCGCCTACTACCATCCGTTTTTCATCTCTGAGGAGCGCACCTATGTCCGGGTGATATACTGCCGGGCAGCAGGTGACAGGGGGTATATAAACTTTAAATATTTCGAGCTCAACATCGCCTGACCGGATAGCAATGCCCTGACATTCTAGGGTGGTATCCCTGCGGTCGATGTCTGCTTCGATAAGACGATACTGCACGGTGTGGTGCGTGATGAACGCTAAGCCACCACCATTATCCCGCTCGCGATCTCGACGGTGCACGTTGTACCCGGCACAATTCACCAGTGTTAAATTGCTGTGCAACTTCGTCTCTTGGACCGCAGCTATCAATATGCCATGCCTTCCCATGAAGACGGTTATCTCCTGGATCTTGCTCTGAACCCCGTTGCAGTTAAATTGAAGGAGCTTCATGTGGTTCGGGAGACGTGTGGTGATGCGGGGTGTGAGGGATGTGTGTGGTCGTGCCACAGTTGGCTGTGTGCGCTGCTGAGGTGGTTGCCGCCCTGTGGTGGTGGCGGGAGGCATCGCAGTTGAGGTCTGCGACCGAGCAGCACAACACGGGCCCTCGAAGTTCCTCGTCCAATCTCGCGTGGTGCGCAGACCTGAGCATGCCCTAAAGTGGCACCAGCCAAGGCAGGTGTTGCACTTGACTGATGTCACATTTATTTATTTATTTATTTAATCTAGAAATATCTGTACAGTGGAAGGCCTCTTGACTGTCAGGAAGGTCTTTCGGAAGGGCTTTTAACTCCTGAAATTATCTACTGGGAATGATGCGCACCCATTTTGAAATTGCCGCAAACTATAAGATACAGTTTCTAGGGCAGATTCACTATAGATCCGGATTATCGTTGTCGCCAGGAAACTTCTTCATGGAGATAACACTTTCGTTAGGTTATTTAAGGCGGTAAACGAGCACCAAACCAAAAATCTTAGCCGATGAATGTGCCAGTGGAAATCGTAAACGTGGTCTTTTGGAGAAAGTGTTGGACCAAAATGTTTAAACTAAAAGAAAATGTAAATTAGCTGTCGTGCAGTGCGGACGTGTTTTCTTTTCTCGTCTAGTTTTAATCAAAATCTCTGCAAATTAGTGTAAGCTTCTCGCTTGAATTTCGACGCTCAATATGGATGGCCTCTGTGGCAAGTGTGACAAGGTTTTTGCGCGAGGAGATGCTTGTATGGTGCCCTGTTGTGGATTTTTCAAATTTCGGAATACGATATTGGTCTGCTCATCTCGAACTGCCACATTCGCTATTTCTGTCCGGAACGCATAGTCATGCCAGCTACATTAAGTAAGACTCTTGACCTAATATCGTCGACACACAAACATGGGTTGGAGTTCATTTAAAGTGACTTTGATGCAAAATTCTTCACATGAGCAACTCAACGCAGTCAAAAATCAGTTAGAATACATAAACAAAAAAATTTCCAATGACAACAACAACAACATTGCGAAAGTGCTAAGTGAAATTAATATCGTTAATTTGGCTGTTGCTAAAACAACAAACTACAATGTAAATGCTTCTAAGAAGAATTGAAAAGCTGCCCGCCTGCTGTTCAAAATACTTTTGCTGCACCTGATGACAGCAATTATACAGCTATTACTAACATCATATTCTAGTGGTGCTAAGCATATTAAAAATAAGAATAGCGCATCAGTGTATGCTTTGCC